CAATTTGCCCTCCTGCCTGTATAGTCTTTTTTTGTCCAGAAGGAAAAAGAAACACGTGTCGACCCCAAGGTCCTCTCTATTCCCGCTTATTATATTATATACTAGTGATGAAGAGCCCGTGCTAATAATTAATTTAAAAGTTAATTTTTAATTGACGTTAAATAAATAGTTTTAAATTTTAAATTTGAATAAATTATATATATTTATATGGTAGTAAACGTTCATGTTAACTCTAAAATGAATACATCACTATTAATAAAGCTTGAAGTTTAAAGAAAAATCCTTAAATGACCAAAATAACCCTTAAACTCAATTTTAATCACAAAAAGCATACATGTCCACGGTGTGGTGGCTGATTCATCAACTAATTTTTTGTATGTTTTTTCAAAAATATTTTAGTTGCTAATTTGTTATAATTTATAAAAATCATTAACGTCATTTTCGAATAACTTATAGTATTGTTAACTTTCAATAATATATATTGTTCCATCTATTCAAATTCATGTGTCACCAATAGAATTTCAAGAGTCAACAAAAAAATTTCTAAAAAAAATATATTTTAATTATGATTTATAGTACTTTTAAATATAACGTATAGTGTGTTTGTAGGCTCTTATTAGATTGAAAAAATATTTTAAATTAGTAATTATTGTAATTAATAGTGTATATTACGTAATTTTCAAATTTGTAATAAATTTTTTTAAATATTAAGTCTAATAATTTATAGTATCTTAAATGTAATCTTTGAATACACATAAATTAAAAAAAGAAATAAGACAAATAAATTATAAATTGAATAATTGACATTTTCAAATATTAATTTACCACAAAATGAAAGTGAAGGAAGAAGTTGTGAGGCAAAAATAAAGAGAAAGGAATGGAATTAGTGAGGTGGGGTCCATATCCATTAAAAAAGATTGAAATAAATGCATGGCAAATTGAAAAGGTGTCAAATAGACAGGAAAACGGGCCCAGATGCATTGAATAGTTGGCAGCCATTGAGTGGGTCACTAATACACGTGGCAGCGTTTGCATTTCACGCTTTTGGCTCCGAAAATCGCGTGTTTATTTATTTAAAGGTAGGATAGTTAAAGTGCCTATTTGTGCATTGTGAAAGTTGGAGGTCAAAGTTAAAATTTGAAGCCAAGTTTAGGGGCCAATATATGTATTATGCCTAATATAAATGTAGTCGTGTAATAATTTTTAGGGGAACTTTCGAATATAGCCACTCAAAAATAGTTTAATTATGCTCCATAGCTATAGTTTGCTAATTACGATTCGTAGCTACATGTTATAAGGAGGAGAGTGGTGAGCAAGATTGGGAGAGAGAGGCGAGCGAGAGAGGGCAGACAGTGGGTGAGAGATGAATTGTATATATATCGGTTAGATAATTGTATATATGTAACTAGTATACATATATATTTGTTTATCTGGCGAGCGAGATTGGGAGAGGGGGAGAGAGGCGAGCGAGATTGAGAGAGGGAGGAGAGAGGCGAGCAAGACTGGGAGAGGGAGGAGAGAGAGGAGAGAGGTGAGCGAGAGAGGGCAATAATTTATATAATTCGCATCTTATTTGTATGATTTGCGGGTACGTTTGTATAATTCACATGTGTTTGTATAATTGAGTAATACAAAGTCTGGAATTATACAAATATGCTAAACATGAAATAACGAATTGATACAAACATAAACATATGAACTTTAAATAGTTATACAAATTATATTATACAAATTACATTATATAAATTATATTATACAAAATCCAAAAACTATATGTTTATACAAACTTTAAAAAGTTATACAAAAAAACATTGAATGTATATGGTGATAAAACTGAAAAATCAAAGGAAATCATCGTCATATACAAATACAAACTATCGTATACAAATACAAATCAAAACGAGAAATTTGTTAGTTGCGAATTATACAAAATGTGGTGAATTATACAAACTCGAAGTCAGCCCACATAATTAATGGTTAATGTTAGTTGTGTGTTGTAATTATAGCAAACTATTGCTTTGATGACTAATTAAGTAGTATAAATTTGCTTAACCGCATTATTTTCCCTAATTTTTATAGTCCGATTTTTAAAAATAAACATAAATTCGATTGGCTATTTAGGTAAAGATGAAGTTAAGCTTGGATAATAATATTCCTAGACTTTTGTATACATGAGTCATAAGACCCTTCCATCATATTTTATATTTCATAATATATATGCTATTTGATTTTAAAATTTCAGAACCAATCAGTAAGAACTGATTTTTTTCCATATATATAGAGAGAGAGAACCTTTGCAGCGTGTAAAATTAATTACTCGTTAAATAGAAAAAAAGATATAAAGGCTCATATTATTCATATAGTTCGTAGTAAATGGCAAAATCTTTTCAGAAGATATGGAATCTAACAGAAATGACCTCTGAAATCCTATGGAATTTAGACACAAGTTGAGGACTGCATATAGACTTTAATTGTACTTTTCTGTCTCAAAATAAGTGTTTTTGATAAAAAATAATATTTTGTCCGAAAACAAGTAAGTACTATTTTAGAAATTTAAGAAAAAAATTAGTAATATATGATCTCCATACTTCATATTTGTAGTAGTATTCAATTTTCAAGAGATATTTATTATATAATGATAGTTTAATAAATTACATATTGTATATATTTATTAATTTTTTAATGAACGTGGTATTTGTTTTGGTGATATCATTTTGGAGCGGGAGGAGTAGTTTCTTATTCTTATGATGATTAAAGAGAATTTCAATTCTATGCTTTCTTTTTTATAATCGTGTTGTCGGGCCAGTTTATGCTCATCTTGATGAATTTTATTTTATGGAATATATGTCACCTTCCAAACTACTTATATCATCAGGTAAAACTCTATCCACTAAGGCTAGCTAAAACTAGAAATGAAAAAAGTAAGTATCACCTAAGGAGCACGAAACTACTGCTTTCCTCCTTTCTTTCTCTCGTAGTTCTTTGAGGATTTGTGAGTCTTTTGTGAGTGGAAGAAGAGCTTTTAAATGGAAATATACCTTCAAAGCTTCTCTCCATTGAATTTTTTTTTCTGAAATAACTTTCCGCTAAAACTCCTTTAAAAAGCTAAACAGACGTGCTTTCTC